ACAAGCTCTCCTTAGGAGAGCCTATGCTTTAAATCCATGTGAGCAAACCAGGGGCATATCTAGAGACCCAGTCTCTACGGTTTCTCTATTTATTATTCAACCATCCACCAAGCCAATGTTTACATCTGGGTTTGATTCACGTTAAGAGCTGTTTCTTCCTTTATATCCCTTCCAGAGGGGATGTATGCTAACTGTGGCATGGCACTATGGTTTGGCTGTGTTCCTGCAGGGCTTTTGCTCATGCCCCCATAAACTGTTGTACACCTCTTGTGTACTATCGGGGTTTTCTAGCCATGTGTTACTGAACAAACATTGTTTGTGTCGTGCAACTGGATGTATTTATGTGGCCAGAGTGGTCTCACTCTAGGAGATGGTCCTCTCCTGCATGGTTTAGCCAGACTCTGGTGACCCTCTTCAATATAAACTCTGGAAATAAGCTGAATTCAGGCTGTTAATTACTCCAGAGAGTGCTTGCCAGACACTTACACGCACATTGCTTATACTGTTGCTTGTGTGTGTACAGTAACACAACCTTTCCAGCTGTAGCTCTGGCTTTTGTGCAGCTTGCTGTGTGCTGGTGCTAAAAGTCTTTGCAAAAAAATTGTTTTCTCCTTGCCTGTTGGAAGATGGAAGGGAGCTGGTCTTGGAGGGGGGTGGCAGCACAGCTCTGCCCAGGTTGGGATTTCAGATTAGGAAAAAGGATTTGTTTTCTGATACGCCCTGAAGAAAATATGGTACATGTGAGCCAGGGAGGTTTTTTCCTCTCTGATTTGCAGTTTGAGATCATGCCTTTCTGCTAGGGTTGCTCTGTGAGAGGATAGCCTTTAAATGAAACCAGAAAAGCCAGCAGCATTTTAATTAATATTCATTTTAGCACCAAATGAAGTTTTAGGACTGAAATGCAAAACAAACACCAAGCAACCAACCCGTTGCCACGTAATTCAGATGGAGAGACTAAGGGCTGGTGAAAGCCTGACCAAATACTGAGGAAAGGACTTAGGAACCTGCTTTTGCACAGTTTGTCATGCCGCAGGTGTTTTACTGAGCTGAAATAAAATTGCAATTAAAAAATGGATCCATTTCCATAGCTAGCATGTGAGCGTAATCAGGGCTAATGAGGGACAGCAGGGTTCGGAGCAGCTGGCCACAAGCCCCCACACAAGACACTGCAGGAGGATGCACGTCTCAGTCTGAAGCCTGCTAAAAAGAGGTGAGTACGTATATTTTTTACATATATTTACACATTTTTTTCCTCCTGTGGAAGGCTTTGCAGCCTGTGTGTGCCTGCTTGCACCCACCACGGAGCATGGGCTGGGGTTGAGGGGAGACAACATCCCAGTTTGTTGGAAAGTAGGTGCGTTGGAGGGTTGGTTTCCACAGGGGTGTCCTCAGCATGCGGGGAGGTGATGGTGCACACATCCAGGGGATCTCAGCATAGCCTGTGGGATCCCTTGGCTCCTGTCCACATAGCATTGTCTGAGCCCGTCTCACCCCAAGGGCCTGGTATCCCTCACCAGCAGCTTGTGCTCAGACCTCTGTCACACTATGGGAAAGGGGAATTGCATGGTTAATGTTTCCTGTGTCCTACACCAGAACAGGGGCCAGGTATGAGGTAGTGCAGCTTAAAGTTTGAGGGTGACTTCCTGAAATTAAGTGACAGAAGTTCTCTTTGGTTTGTAATGGTTTAAACTAGGACCAAGGGAGCAGGAAGAGAGTCAAAGAAAGAATATGACTGTGAACACACTGAATGCTCTTGCAAAGCTGGCTGGTGGTCACCTTTTCAGTTTGTACAAGAGATGTCAGTTCATTTCTCATGTTTATTGCTTGGAAGAAATTGTCTAGCTTGTAAATTCTAGTGGGAAGTGACCCAGTCGACTTCCCCTATCTCACTACAACCTGGAGTGCCCATAAGCTTCCCTAGCACATGCTTATACCATGCACAGTTTCTGGGTGCACAGTGTCCTGCGACTGTTTTTTGAGGCCACAGTGAAGTGTCACATACATGCTTGTGTAGACAGAGTCACTTGAATGGCCTGTTTCTGTCAAATAAAGTAAAGTGAAGTACTCAGGGAGAGGTTATTTTTAAGAAGACAAAGCTACTGGTCTATCTTAGCCATCACTGGTCTTTTAAGTCCTGCATGAGGTTCTATTCCTGCCACATCTGTTTCCAATCTAACCTCTTCTGCCACGAGGTATTCGTTATCCTCTCCCTAGACATGAGGTGGTATCATACGTTACTTGTGTTCCTAGAATCATTTAGGTTGGAGAAGATCTTTAAGATAGAGTCCAACCATTAACCTAACACTGCCAAGTCCACCACTAAACTATGTCCCACCTACACATCTTCCCAATATTTTCAGGGATGGTGACTCCACCATTTTCCTGGGCAGCCTGTTCCAGTGTCTGACAGCCCTGGAGACCCAATCCCTAAGACCCAATCTAAACCTTAAAGTTATAACCCTCACAGTGATTTCACAGGGTTTTCAAGGTCCAGTTTTCCCTTGCCATTATGGTCTAAGGAAATAAAGCATGTCAGCTTTGATTCCCAGTGAATAGCCAGGGATGGAGGCCAAGTACAAGCTTGCAAGATTCAAAGGCAACTCTCTTAACAGGGATCGGTGTTTCCCTTGCATCCCAGTCTCTGTTCAGGCAACCAAGGGACAGATTGTTCCTGTAGGCTCTTGTTGGGATGGATTGCTGGACAGCAAGTCTGCTACACACTGCAGGATTTAAGTAAAAATACAAAAAAAAAGAACCCCCCGACCCTTAGGCCATGCTGTGACGCTTCTGCTTCTCCCAAAAGCAAGCAAGGCTCAGGTTTTCCCAGAGATCTTAACAAGCCCAGCTCACCCTGCACTTCAAGGAAAGTGCGCTTGGCTGGGATAAGCACCAGGTTTACATTTACTGTCACTCCGTGCCTGCAGCAATGCACAATATTCTTGCTTTCCTGGGGCTGTAGCAGTGAAGTCTTGTCCTTACCCTAGGAGCCAGTCAGGGCACTGCACACACTGCCTATTTAGCAGTGCCACTTATAGGAACAGGATTATTTACAGCACTGGAACATGGGAGAACAAACCTCAAGAGGCAGGAAGTGCTGGCAAAGGCATGCTTCCTTCCTACCCTTTCTCCTGGTTTGCGGTCTCCTTAGTGGCCGCTGCCAGTGATAGAAAGCAGGATAAGCCTTATTAACCCGTGTGTGAAGTACAAGATGGGGCTGAGCATAGCAGTCAGGAACACTTGTAGCTAACCTACCTAGCAACCAGGGCCACCAGCTTAACAGGCAAAAAACAAGATCAGCTTTACTCTTGTCAGTGCCAAAAAGACACAAGCCTCATCTAATCAGGGCAGCTAGGAACAGAGACCCAGCTGTAAGCTCTCCTGTGCCTCTGCAACATAAGGGCCTTCACTTTTTAAATGCTTGTACAATTATTTAGCTTACCTTCACTTACCCAGAGAGCCTCCTGCTTATTTGCACGAAGTCCCTTGCTCTCCATAGCTGCATCAGCTCTGGCAAGCAAAGAGGAAAAGCCCTGTCTATGCACAGTCACCATGTCTGTGCCCACAGGGTGACTGGCAAGACACAGCTACAACTCAGGCCCTTCTGGCAGAGCTGCAAGAAAGCCTCCATAACAAGGGTTATCAGGTGGAAGAGACAAGGCTTCAGTACATCAGGAGGCCATCCACCCTCCAAAGCCATTTCCCCCCACCCCAATACTCTGAGGCAGCTGCTGTAGCACAGATCTGGGCAGAGCTGCTGCCAGGCAGCAGTTGTGCTGACAATCAGGCAACAGGCCTGTCAGGCTCTCCATGAAAAGCCTTCACATGGCTGAAATACTCTACAGATTGGTAGTGTCCCCAGCCAGGCAGCCAGCCCAGCCACGCAGCTGTTCAAAGGAGCAGCAAATGCAGCCCTGCAGACGGATTAGCCATCAGGAGTCAAATTCCACCTCTTCAGCAATGGAAGATCTCACCCACCAGCAGTCAGTGACCAGCCAGGCTGCACTGGGGCAGCACCCACAAAGCTGCAGTGGTCAGTGAACCAGCTCCAGAGCTGGGCAGCCTGCCCAGGCTCCCAGCACTCCACAGTTTACCTTTCATCAGGTCCTCAAACACTGACACAGTCCCAACTCCAGCCCTGGGTACATGGCTAGCAGGCAGCTGGGCAATAGCAGCAGCAGACACACTCCAAGGCATTGCATGAACACAGCAAAGAGGTCTTGAACACAAAGCACTGTTTACTAAGTTTTTTAATTTGTCTGCCTAACTGCAAGTAGTTGTGCTTGGTGCACTCGGGATTCAGTGTCTCTAGTAAACTGCACCTAGAACTTAGTAGCCAAGTGCTACAGACACTGCCCCACAGGCTCCTGACATGGTCTAAGCTGATGACTTCATGGGAAAACACAATACTGGGTCTCTGACAGTATCAAGACCTCACTTCATGAAGCAGCACAGACAGCCTGGATCCTCTAAAGACCTCAATCCTAAATTGTCTGTGAGGCCTCACCTTCCACTCCATATCTTCCTACTGGCAAGTGCAGTTAGCCTGACTTGCCTGCTCTTCTCTACTCATTAAGTACACTAGTGCCATCCTGCTAGGCATGCTCTTGGAAAGCAAAGCTATGAGCAAGAGCACAAGCCCTGCTCCCTGTGACTCTCCCAACCCCAGCAAGTGGATATAAGCAGCACTCCTTGGTCACACATGGCACAATGCATGTCCAACATGCACTTGTTCAAGCTTTCCTGGCTGAGGCTAGTCAGAGTTTAGAAACCAAACAGCCAGGGACCACTCATTGCATCAAACAGGGTCAAGGAAGCAACTACTATTAAGGTAGCTTTAGTCACACTAAATCATGCTTTGACTGGCATGTGGTCTACCTCAGCACCAGCTGCAAGGCCACAGCATAAGTAGGCACATAGTTGGATACATACCCCTTCCCATTGCCCACCCCTGTAGCACACACAGGAGCAAGCAGATTAGAGCAGAAACAGCAGAGGAAGAAGCCATTGCAAGTTTGGATTTATTTCACTGCACAGGGGGGGGGAGAAAAAGAAACAACAACAAACCAACCAAGCTATAGCTGATCACTGAACTTAATGGCTTTGACTTTGAAGTCTCCCTCTACAGCCAGGTATTCGATTTTCTCCATGCCCAGCCGATTAGGGAACTGGAACTCGGCATCAGGCAGCTTTACTGTTGCCTCCGTTTCATTGAAGGAGATGCAAATCTGTAGAGAACCACAAGAATGAAGGTTAATAAAACACCACTCACAAGCCTCACTCCCCACTGCCTGCAGTTCACGTGCAGGACAAGAGATGTGGCTGCTGGTGTCAAGGCCATGCTCACTAGCTCAGCTTCTGCCCTGCCCATCATAGGCTTATTTGCTCTGCCCCGCCCATCATAGGCTTATTTGCTCTGCCCCAAGGTCAGCTCAAAGCTTCTGCAACAAAAAGGATGAGGCAGACCCACTCTGAATCTCAGGTCTGTGTTTTAATATCTCTTACTTGTGTGTCTTGCAAAGGAAGGCCAGACTGGAGCACTTCATACCCCCAAGCTGTTGGGTATTGACTTGACAAGAGTAGGTCTAGACAGTTGGTTTTACTGAGAGACTCTTCCCCTGTTGCTTATTGCCTTTTCCATGCCTGCTCCTTCTCCACCAGAGGTACAAATCAGCACTGGAAAACTGTGCCCTTAGCCCTTTAATGCTGTGGGCCAGGGCCTTGCACACACCCCTGGGGCCTCACCTCAGTCTTGTCCCCATGCTGGAAGGGAAAGTCAGCCTTCCTGTCCTCCTCACCCCACGTGCCATCCTGCTTCGAATTGCACACGATGGTGTTGACATCCCCGTGACAGTCAAAGCGAGGGTTGAAATGCAGCAGGAGGGTGCTGCTGTCCTTCCCCACATTGACAGCAAACCTGGGGAAACAGAGAGGTAGTGCACAGCTACACAGTGCTGATGAGCTGAACACTGCAGGAGCTCGGGCTTCCCTCAGTGCCATATCAATCCATTCACCATCTCACTCACCCTCTGGCATCAGACAGGATCTTCCCTTTGACTTTGATGCACTCTCCAGGCTGGACGTCCAGCTGAGTAACCACCAGTCCCTGCAGGGCCAAAGCACAGGCATTACTGTGTCACAAGGCAGGCCCACCAGCCCTGCTCCGGCCATGGCACCAACCAGCTCTGGCAGACCCAGACGTACTTGTGGTTTCATGCAAGCCGAGGGGCTGATTCAGGTTAGCTGCCCATCTCAGCCCTCTGCCAAGGAGGGCCAGTTCACAGCCACCCCCCCCACCCCCCCGGGATTTCCTACCCCGTTAGGCAACCCAAGCTGACAAGGAGGTGATTCAAGTCAGTGTAACAGGAGTAAGGTACAGGCACCAATTTACCAGCTGCTACAGAAGATATCCTTGCAAGCAAATGTGCACTTTCAAGACAGCAGAGGCCAGAGCCTTTAGATTACAGTTAGTTACAAAGCTTTTTTAGCCCTAGATCTCTCCCTTCCCTAGGAACAGGAGCCACCAGAAAAGTTTCTTGCCTTGACCTACAGCAGCCTACACACAGAAAGAGAGGTCAGTGGAGCCCCACTTCTGGCCGCAGCCCAGTAAATTAAAACAGCCTTCCAGGACTCTCTGAATTGCAGAGAGACTTGCCTCAGCGCCAGGTTACTCACTCCCCCAGCCACATATCCCCTCTCCTCCCTCAAAAAACTACTTAACATTGCCAGCCTCCCACAGCTAATAGGGGGATGCTGTCTGGTGAGGTCAGGCACAACTCAAATCATGCTTTGCTGCCTGTGATCTTGGCCCAAGTGCCACAATGTTGAGCTCCACTTAACTGCGCATCAGATGAGGCAGGGAAACTAATTTCAAATGAATTATGTTGTTGTTCTTGCCTGGCTTTCACAGGCCCATGCCCTGTGTCCTCATGCCTCCTCCCTGCTCTGCACATACACAGACTGCTAGGGTCAGAATCCCTCCAGTCACTAAACCTCTTACCATTGCAGCACCAACATTGCCTTCTGGCTCTATTTCTAGGGCAGCACTGAAGCGCAGCCTGAAACAGTCTCAGCGTCCCAGGGCACAGCAAAAAGCAGGTTAGGGAGGCAGGGGTAGGTTAGAATACAGTGTTTTCCTCTGCTGTTGCATTGAGGTAACCTCATCCTTTACCCAAAAGTCATTTTTCCAGAAGCAAAGTTAAAAAAAAAAAAAAGAAAAAAAAAGGTATTCAAACTGTAGACTTGCAAGTGTCCCCAGACGTTTAGAGTGCTCAAGGATATAAACATGCATTAGAACAGCTTCCCCACATAGATAACACACTAGAGAACAGGAGAGGAGAATAAAACACAGCTGATCAGCCCTACCTGTGCCTCCCACAGACATATATCAGTCTAGCGTTTCCTGTCAGCTAACCCTTTTCTCCTCCTACCTCTGGCACCAAGCCTGAACCCCCAGGCAGCCAAACCCTAGTCCTGCTCAGTGCACGGGTCCGGCTTGAAGAAGGCACTCACTTGCTCCATGCTGCAGACACCAGCCCCACAAATCAGGACGCCCCCAAACCCCCGCTCCACAGAGTGACTCAGCGCTGAGCGCCCGCAGCTTAAATCACTGGGGCAGGACCATCACATGATGGAGGGGGGCGACGAAGGAGATCAACCGCAGCTGTGGGGGGCTGGAGCTTTCCCAGCCGGCTCCCAGCGCCGGGACATCTCTTGATATTGTTCTCTGCGAGCAGTATGTGTGTCATTTTAAGAGCTAGGGATTGTTTGCTTCTGCGTGATCCTAGAAATCCTCACTGTAAACTCTTCTAGCGGCTGCGCCGCGTATGCTGGCTGGTATCCCGGCAGCGCGAGTGTGGCTCCGTGCCTGCAGCCAGGTGGCTGCTCTTTGTTAAACGATCACTGCCTAAAATCAGGGTTGGGGTCCTCGTGTTACTGCTGCAAAGTGACTGCCTCTGACAATTCATGTGTACACATCCTTCCAACCCAGCCTCGTGCCTGTGACGGGCTCGGATCAACGGGAGCCCCTGGGTGCAAGTCATCACTGCTGCCAGTTAAATGAAACCTAAGGGTTTGCTATCTTCTATGCCAGCGTTTAAAGAGTGTCTGTAAGTTAAGGGTGCTCGCGTGGGGCACTGCTAGGCGTGAGAATTCTAGGCGTCAGCTTTTGAAAAGCAGCGTGATTGCTCGTTCCATTCCAGTTGCAAAACACTCCCGAGGGAAAAGAGAAATGCTTTGTTAGCTGAGGAAGCGCCGGGGAGGGCTGAGCGCAGCCGGCTAGAAAGGAGGCTGCTTTCCGCTTTACTATGCTCCTTAAAAGCACACAGCATGACTGCCGTGAGGGTCTTTGCAGGGAAGAGACCTGCAAAGAGGATGGGAGCAGCTGCTTTGTGGATTTGTGTGACTGGATCAGCTGCATACCCCTTGTAGCTTTGGATCGGCTTTAGCAGTGTCCTCAGGCCTCCGGGTCTCAGTTTCCCTCGTATGTGAAGTGACGTTAATAACGTGCAACTTCAAAATCCCACTTGTAAAACTTCAGCCAGAGCTGCTATATAGATGCTACTTGTGGTTAAGCCAGTCCTAGCCTGGGAGGTACCTATCTGCAGCCAACTTCTGGAAGGGCTGCACAGGGCAGCTTACAAAACAGTGCAGGAATTTATGGCTAGGTAGCAGGAGGAGACACGCTGCCCCGCAGGAGGCTGCTGGAACTTCGTTAGAGCGTGGTTGCTCTCACACCAACAGCATCCTGACTCCTGACACCACCCCTTGCTCCAGATATCCCCCACACCCATTGCTGAACATTGACGGGGCATTTCAGCATCCTGTATGACGCTGGGTAAGCCAAAGCCAGTCTGCGTTTGAACTAGAAAGTCACAACCCTGAACTGGATCCCTGTGACGAGGCTGTATAAAAGAGGGCAAAATGCTGACTGAAAGTACAGTAGAGAAAATCGCACCTATCTCTTGCTGCCAACTGAGTCCTTCGCCATCCAGTGCGTACACAAAGTCCATGCTGAAGCTGGGATTTAACTGCAGAGTTGGTGCAGGTAGCAAATGCCACTGAGAGCAGGCCCCCTCTGCGGATAGTTTGGAGAAAGCCCACATAATTCCGCCTTAAGCTTGCCCCAGTCTCTAGCACGATGTTAGCTGGGATCACGTGTTAGGCAGGCTTTGGGCGCTTGCTTTCTGTGCAGTTGTTCCCTGTTCACAGCCACATGTGAGGGGTTGAGCAAATTCTGTTTGGTCGATTGGGCTTTGTGTTTGTTTTCCGTTGAGCTCTGTAAAACCCCTGCAGACTCCTCTCGGCCTTTCGGTGCTGCGGTGTTTCTGGTGGAAGAACTGCTGGTGAGGGCAGTTGTGGTGCTGGGACGTGCAGTGACACACTGCTGGCCACTCTGACTCCCCTTCTGAAACGCACGTTTCTTGTGAGCTGCTTTCTGGCCTGAAGTCTCCTCCTCTGACCCTTTCCTTCAGACAGGGAAATGCCTTTCTAGTAATATGTGGAGGCTGCGCTGTTTGTTTTCCTTGAATGCTCTGCACTGGCAGCCTGGTTGGTTTAGCAACAAAGCCTTTGGCCTTGCCTCTGATTTAAAGCACTCCTGGTGTTAAGCCCTGTGAAATCAGTAAAGTGTTTGTTCTCAAACTGCAATGCTGAGATGCCCAACTCCCTCCATTTTCCTTAGGGATTATACCAATTTTGGAAAAGCAGAATAAAGATCTTCCCTTTTTCAGCCTCCAGTGGGATAAAATAAGGTCTCTCCCTCCCAGGGAGACCTTACAACAATTTTCCAATACCTAAAGGGGGCCGACAAGGAATCTGGAGAGGGGCTTTTGACAAGGGCCTGTAGGGACAGGACAAGGGAGAATGGATCTAACTGACAGAGGGGAGACTGAGATTAGACATTAAGAAGTTCTTCCCTGTGAAGGTGGTGTGACACTAGCACAGGCTGCCCAGAGAAGCTGTGGCTGCCCCATCCCTGGCAGTGTTCAAGGCCAGGTTGGACTGGGCTTGGAGCAACCTGGTCTAGTGGAAGGTGTCCCTGTCTTGGCACGAGGCTGGAACCGGATGAGCTTTAGGGTTCCTTCCAACCCAAAGCAGTCTGTGATTCTATGATCCTAAAATTCCCCAGAGGGTTTTCTTCTCTTTCAGAGGATATGTAAAGGGAGATGGGCCACAAAGTGAGGCAATGCTGCCCATCCCCACCCCATCAAGGGTGGCCCCAGTCCCTCTGTATGACACAAGGGAGAGGACATCCTGCACTGCCCACAGGGAAGGGCCTCTGCCCTGCCCCACCGTGCTTCCTGACATGGGAGTTTTGTGCCTAAGGAATAATATAAAGCTCACAGCAGGCAGGCAGAGGATTAGAGTGTGTTTCAAAGGTGGGTCAGAGAGAGAGGTGCTGCCCTATGCAAGCTGCTCTTGCACCCCAGGACCAGCAGGTGATGTTCTGAGAAGAAACCTGGGGCAGAAAACAATGCAGAGAAGAGCCCAGGTCTTACCTGGACTATAGTGAGGGCTGCAGTATGTACAGGTCCTGAGAGAGACTAGATGGGTGCATGCAGTGTATGTATTCTCATTTCCAGGCTCACACACACTTTTGGGGAGAAGCATTGCACCCACCAGGCAGCTCTGGCAGAGCCAGGAAGAGAACTCCTGCTCATCCGGAGGGTGATGCCCAGAGGAATTCACCCCTGTGGGGAAAACTAAGAGTGCCAAGCCAGCACCTTGCAGGCTTGCTTGAGGGCATGGGGACCTGATGCTGGGCAGACCCCAGCAGCCCAAGCTCTTATTTCATGTCTTGATTTGCACAGAGAACCAGCCAGTCTGATTTTCTTATAGCTCTCTCAAAATACCCAGATTTGCTTTAGAAAAATGTGAATACCAAAAGGATGCAGCATACTGATTGTTATTCTTTTTAATCTGTGAATAAAAATACACCCTAGCCCTTGGCAAGTCATATCCCTGACTAGTCACTTCTGTCATTATCGATGCCTTAGCCCTGGTTTTGGAAGGTCTAAGAACACACCTCTGCTAACTCAAGGACTATGGTGTATTCTCTAGCCTGTGTGACACAGGGTGCAGAGGCCAGTGCTGCTGGCTTGTCAATATCTGTGCCTGGTTTGTCTTGCGCTGAACCCACACAGACTGCTAGTTGTTGGTGCTGCATATCCTACATTAGTCATTGCTGTCGCTGAGAAAGAGGCCTTACTTCTGGCTGAAAGAGTGAGAGAGCAGCTTTCTCCTCCTTCAGCACAGTGGTGCTGCACATGTGCCTCCCTGGGAGGGCACCACTGCGCCTCAGTCTTTTTGACGAGGGAAGGAGAAAAACTGCTCCAATTCATTTACAGTAGTGCAAGGGCCAGACTGGTAAAATAATGACAAGGAAAACTCACCCTTTTCTTCTGGGGGATAAAGCTTGCACTTTGGTGTAAGTTCAGGGATTTTTTCACTTTCTTTAGGAAAGATTTGAGCTTGTCTCTCTAAGTCCAAGTCCATTCTCGGTTCATCAAGCCAAGACAGCATCTTTCTCTTGCACTGTCTTTAGGAAATACTTGTGTCAGCACTGTCTGGATGGGATCCTGGTCTCAGCACCAGGTTACTCCTGCAACCTAAGCATTGTGCTGTTACAGTATAAGAGATACACACATTATATATACACACACAAGGCTGTTTTCTACCTCTTAGATTATCCGGGGACTTTAACTTAAGCAATCTTCTGCTACCACTGTTGAAGTGTCTGATTCTTCCTGTTTCCTCTGCAGCATGTTAGTTTGTCTCATCTGAGAAGCTTCTGCCTTTTTGCTTGAGTAGTAGTAGCCCCTTGAAGGTTTCTGTTGGACAGTTTCTCTGGACCTTTCTGCAAAGGCTCCTTCTAAAACAATGCTCTTACCACCATGGCATCCGCCAGCCCTAACTACAGGGCAAACTTTAGGATTGGTCTGGTCCATATGGGAATAGAGCCAGACTCCCTGCCCTTGAAAGACAAAGGCTGGCTGGGGAGCCACAGTCCAATGCGACAGGAGGCTGAGGCCCTCCTACAGCCTACAGGCACCATGCATCCCAGAGCACTGCTTTGGAGGGAGGTTTGTGCCAGGAAGGGGGGCTGACAGTCCAGTCCACCCTGGATGCCAGCTGGGGTTGCGTGGCCACATGTCACCACACCATTTTTATCCCAGAGGGTTTCCCAATTTCAACTCTCCCTTACATTAAAAGGGAAGCACCTTTATTCCAGGTTAATTATCAATTAAGTTAATTATAAAGAACTTCTTGCACTATCTCAGAGTGATGAAAGGAGTTTGCTGATGCCCTCAGTGGAATTTAAAGTATGTCTCATCATTTTATTTCCCTTGTTAACACTGACCCAAGCTGCCAATCCCTGTGTTTCTCTCATCTCTCAGTGGATTACATTTAACTAGAGCAAATTGTTAGCCACTCAGGAGAACTGGGGCTTTGTTATTTTGGACTCATTTCACTTTGGCACACACAGCCCCATAGCTTTTAATTTTACAGGTGGCAAACACCTCTCCTTCGAGTTTATTGCTTCATCTCAAAGGAGTTGTTCACATTTGTTCCTCACTGGAGGTCCCCACTTCTCTAAACTTAGGTACATGTTTTCCTCCTTTCCTCCTCTGTGAAGCTCATCAGACAGCAGGAAGATTTATCTCTCATCCAAAGTCACCATGCTTGCAAGAGTGCAGTAAAAAGCAGTGTGAGGCCCCGCTGCTGTAGACTGCCAGGCCACTCCTTTCCCTGTTTCTTACCATAGTATGAGACCCGTGTCACCTGGGACAGACCTACCCCTGCTCCCCTGTGAGATCATGCCCCAGACAGCAAGGTCTGGAGCTGGAACCTATAGCAACTACTACAGTATGAGTTCATAGCGGAGACCACAGGTTACTGACCCTTCAAGTGCATGTTTTCCACAGGTCTATCAGCTCTGGCACTTCTAAGTATTTATTTTTCTTAACAGCACTGTCTACTTCACATCTATGACCACATTGCAAACTTGTAGGACAGCAGCACTTTCCAAGCCTTATATATTTCTGTGGTGTACCTCCAGACAAGCTGGGTTTGTAACTTACGATCAGCTGGATGGGGACTTGTGGGGGTTGAAGTGCTTTGCATGGTAAGACATGAGGAAAGCTCAGAGGGAATGCATCTGCATTCCCCTTCCACTCGGGCAGTGGAGCTGGTTAGCTGGGTCTGGACTCTACGGTGAGTGGAGCAAGAAGAGAGAGATGGCAAGTAACAGAGCCTGTTCTGGTTCAAGATAAAGGAGTGGTGTCTGCAGAGAAGGAGCATCACTGAAGCATGCCTTTAGGTAGAATTTGTCTTGAACTACGGTGACAGCACACAGGTCAGGGGTCTAGCCTTTGTTTCATGTCATAGTCACAAATCAGCTTTCATCATTTAGTGCCATCCATAAAGGTAAATTTGCTAGGTTTTACCAACAAAGCCAGACTGCTCTTCTGAAAGATGTGCCCCTTTCCTGGCCAAAGGCCTGGATCCATACTGTCACAGTAGACACATCAGGAAGCATGACTTCCTCCACTGTTGTCTGACACAGGAGTGGCTTTAAGCAGGGCTGGAAGGCAGAGGCAGCTCTGCACTGCTCAGGGTGACATGCCTTACTTAGTCCTGCTAAAGTCAGGAGAAGGCACTGGCTGTGGGCTCCTACTCCCCCCAGCAGCTGACAAAAATAAGACCTGTTGCTCCTTTTATGCTTTCTCCTTATGACTTTTTAAGGCCTGATTTTACTTACGTCACTACACAAAACCTGTAAGGTAGCAGTCTCCCTTAGGCTGAAGGACTGTAGTTTCCTGGTTTGGATCTTTACTCAAATCAGTGGGAGAAAACACCTCACAGTCACTTTGAATAGGGTGGGACCAAGCCTTCTGCATCAGCCCAGAGTCCACAAAAACATTCCAGCAACCTTAAGCTGGACTGGTTTAGCAGAGCTCACTTCTAGCCCGACATACAGCACATACAGCATGCCGTGATGGTTTAGAAACTCAAGCCATCTGGAGATCTTTCCCACAGGAACATGTGTATGCCGGAATTTGTCTCCTTTAGGCCACCCACAGTGAAAAAGGATTGTATTAAAGTTGGCCCAGATTTCCCAAATTCAATTTTAGGCAAAAGAAAATTGTCAGCAAGTATTTGAGAAATGCCTTGGAAAGAGCCAGCCAATTGAAATATGTAACAACTAGCTCTGAATAAACATTGACACTGTATATTCTGAGGCCCAAGATACTGAAGGGCCTTCAAAGTGATGCTTCTAGGGGTGAAGTGCCTTCCCCTTCCTGCCACCTTCTCTCTCTGTCTTACAAGACAGATTTAGGCTTTACCTGAAATAGTTTAGGAGGGCTCCCTTGCTTCAGGAACAATCTCTGATCCTATCTGGCTGCTAAGGTGCAACAAAATAAAATGCACTCAGGTTTAACACTAACATTACTGGATCCCTTCAATACAGCAGCTCTAAAATAGTATCAAATCCAGGTGCATCATTTGATTGTCTCCCATTCAATCAACAGGCAGTTTCTCACATGGTTGGAAGATGACATCTCAGCTGATAGCTAAAATAAGAAGAGCCAGTTAGAAGTACACACATATATACTGAGAAATACACTTGCAAGTGGCAGGTACTAAATCCTGCTTGGAAGCAAGAGCATCATTATGGAGCACTGTGGGCAGAGCAGAAACCCTACTCCTAAATCCCCCAGAGGCTGTGGTGCTCTTACTTGCAGCTCTGGGGTGGGTCCATGAAAAGATTGGGGCACAGCATGATGAAATGAGGCAGCAGTGGGGAGCCCTGGGCACTGCAGGATGAAGGGAGAAGGAAGCCGATAGGATTTCTCATACTGACAAGCAGCCGGAAACTGGGAGAGCTGTGACTTATGCTAAGGGCTTCAGCCATGACTCATGACATGGGCTCCAGCATGCCCTGAAGTCCCACGGGAAAGCGCCAATGCAATTGGCTACCTTAACGCAGCTGCCACCACATCAGACAGCAAAAGGTGGCAGACTCCACTGAGGCATCCTCTGAGGCATTGCCTTCCCATGGCAAATGAGAGTCTGCAGTGAGGTGTGCTCAGCACCAAAGAGGAAAGAGACAGCTGCCTGTCAGAGCTTGACTGCACATAACCCCCAACACCTTTGGGCATCTCAGCCCAAGGACTGTCAAGCAGCACACCTGCCAGAGTCCGCAAGGATCAATATCCAAGGGAAGCACCACTTAAATGCCCTCCCCTTCAACCACACTCAGGAAGAACAGGATTTTGCAGATGCTCTGTCTGTATGCATGGACATGCAGATCCATGACTGACTGCTGTCATCTCTAGCACACACCATCCAGCAGCTAAAAAGCCACCCAACACAAAATCAGTAGGCAAGCACTATGAGAAATAGCAGCCTTGGGCTTGTTGTGAGGCAGCAATGGGAAACCATGGATGTTTGTTTACCTCATTTATTCAGTATTTATCAAGCAAAGAGACAAAAAATCCAAATCAGATGCAAATAACTCCTGAACTCAAAGATCTGCATCTCCCTTGAGCACACCAGTCAGCGGATGACTAAACCAGTTTTATTGTTTCTGCAAAGGAAAATGTGCAGCTTCCCTTGAGAATGCCCATCTGTGTGTCTTTATCCGGAGGCAAGACTGCCAGGCTTACTGACCTCCTGGAGGTGGTATTTATTAAAGCCCCTTCTCTGGTTGCTGCCCTGCCGTGGCAAGAGATTTTCACTGCTTTCTTTCCCAACTCTAAAGCACTTAAACCATATCTAGTCAGTGAGATGTTCAGCTTTGTACAGTGCCCATCTTTTTGCTCATCTTTTTATGGGAACAGGTGTGTTTTGATATATACATCCTATGTGTAATGAAACAACATTGCATGTCCCCCATCTCCAGAAAAAGAGGTTTTACGTATAGGGATTTTTGATGGGGTTTGTCAGCTTCTTGTGCTTACAGTGAACTACGGTCTCCTAATTCTGTGGTACTTCCCTTGCCTTTGCCTTGGGCTGTGGTGACCAGTAGTCATGCGGGGAGAACAAATTCTGGGTAACAGGCTTGTGGCTTATAAACCTCCAGCACAAAATATGCTAAAGCAAGATCCAAGGTTTACTTTCTTTGTCACTGATGCCATGACTCACAAGCAGAGCTGGAAACTCAGCTGATGAAGTGTTTTCATACAAGCAGCTATCTAGGAAGGAAAAGAGCAAGATTATTTGTCAATGGATTTGGACAGTTTTATACATGTTTTCTCATATATACAGTTAATCCCCTCCCAGTATTTGTGTTTTAAAGTCTTAAGTAATTTTCAGCATGTTCATAGCAAAGGTCTTCCAGCATTTGGGGTGACTTGATGCCACTTGGCACAAACGCAGGCACTGGGTAAGGGACACAGCCTCTGTCAGACAGAGGATGTAGCGCAATTTGGGTTGTCAAGTCAGGGTCAGAGCACAGGGTCCCACCTTGGTTGCCCAGCCTATGTACATGG